GAATGAATGAATGAATGAATGAATGAATGAATGAATGAATGAATGAATGAATGGGTTTAATCACCTTAATATAATTAATATTGTTACTGCTATAAATATAATTTTATTTTTATAGGAGTTTATTAAAATATGTTACTGTTAAAACAATCAAGTTTTATTAAAAAAAACTGATTTGTAAATTATTTTTTTAAAATTTTCTCTGATTAAGATGAATAAATTGGGAGAAATGAGTTACCATTATAGATTGAAAATGTTATCTCCTATTTCTCAGAATTCATTCTGAATCCAAATTAACACTCAATTATTATTGTGATATTTTTATAAGCCATAACAAAGAAATTGTACAACTATGCACGCGTGGGATAATCTCATAAATGCTTTATTAAAAACAAGCATACAGTAGTGTGTCAGTTAAGGTAAACTGCAGTTCAGGAAACTAAACACAAGGTGACAGTGTAGCACAACTTATGATAACAGAAGATGAAAGCCCAAGGGTAGAAAGTTAGAAATCATATTGCCTCCAAAGGACCCAGGAAAGGTGTAGATTTTAAATAAGGGAATACTAAAAATGTAGGACTAAGCATGCTCCAGTCAAATGCATTCTTCCTAGTCTTAAACATGCTGGGAATCCATCCTTCAAATAATACCGACTGTTGCCAAAAACCGAATCATTCCCATCAGCTGGTTGCAGTATTTTTTCCTCTTCGTTCGTCTTCCCTGGACTAGAAGAATATGCCTGAGCCCTCAGAGTCTTCAGCTGTCTCAAAATCTGAGCGTGATGCAGGTGTAGCTACTCTTTATGCTGCCATTTGTTCCAACTTGAATGAGCAAGAAGAAATACCCGTCAATGGACTTGATGAGTTTGGGTGGCTGATCTGTCCTTCCTTGGAGGACAAGTTCAGTAAAGTCCCATTATCAGAGTTCATGTCCATGTGCATTTAGAGAAATTGAGTCCTTAGAGCATGCCTTTGTATGATTTGTGTTCTACGGTACTCTAGTCCTTATTTTTAAAAAATGCCTGACCAAAAATATTTTATATATAGAAATAAAACTTTTTAGGAGACAGAAACCACAAAGTTATCTATTTAATCATAAAAAGTTGTTCCTTAGCATACATCGGATAAATGACAAGGGACAAGAAAGACTGATATTGGTAATAAATTATATGCATGCAAATATTTTATTGTTCTTATGTCAGTTTGATTCATCTGAATTCTGGTATGTGACCATAAAAATTTGCTGCTGTTATATTTTATTAAAGGTTATATGAATTTCTTAAGAACAAGTGTTTTCACTCTAATCTTATCTATTCATAAAAAAAAACTTTCTTAATAGATTGTGGGAATGCTGTGGATATAATATATTGACTTCAACAAAGCATTTGACATGATATTTCGATTAGCAAGTTCAGTGTGGGCTGGATAGCAGGCACAATTGGCTTGATAGAAGTACTCAAAGAACATCAGTGGTTCTACATCCAATTGGAGTGAGATAACAACTGGAGAGTTCCACAAGGGTTCTCACTTTGGAAAATGTAATCTGTGAGAGACGCTTTAATTTGGATTTTTGTACTGTGCAGAAAGTTGGACTCAGCTAAGTGGCATTTTCCAATCTGATGATGCTTTCATCTGATTAATGTGGAACCATGTCTACTTTATATAAGTATACCCATCAGTATGAATATTGTAATGTAATTTCTCACCTGTTTGAAGACCGTTAACATAAACTAGTGATAAAGATGAACTAATCACCAAATACTTACAGAGGTAGGTACAAGTTACGACCACTCATTCAGCAAGTGTTCAAAGTTATGACAGCGCTGAATGAATGGTACTTAGGACTGGCCCTCAAAGTTCTGGCCGTTGCAATACTCCTGCAGTCATGTGATCACAGTTCAGTTGCTTGGCAAGTGGCTTGCACTTACAATGACTGCAACGTCTTATGATGTGATTGCCATTTGCGACCTTCCCTGCCAGCTTCCCACAAGCAAAGTCAATGGTGAAGCTGGCAGGGAAGGTTGCAAGTCACTCCCACCACCTTTTCTCTCAAGGAGCCCCACCATGGAGTACGAGATCCAGGACTCCCGTATTCCACAGCACCCCCCTGCCTGCCAACACTGTAGCATATGTCTGCCCACAGCACTCTCCTCACCTGTGCTCCATAGTGCCAATCCACTGCCCCACCAGCCTGCGTGCACTCTGTAGAGCCTGCCCACAGCAGCATCCTCTCTCACACATACCCCACGCTTCTTGCCTGGGACTCCCTCATCTTCCTGCTTAACAACCCACATGGTCCTGTGATTACGACAGCTGCCAGGATTGCCTTCGCTAAGCAGTGCAGTCACATGATGTTGCACTTTATGGCTGTATCACTTAGCAACGGAAGTTCTGGTCCTAATTGCTGTCGTAACCCAAGGACTACCTGTATGAGGTTGAAAGGTAGTATCAGGTTGTTTTTTTATGAGACTTGATCACCACAGCTATGACCCAACAAATATTTAAATGGAACCAGTGTTATTAGAATCCTATATTACCCCTTCTCTTGTTCTTTGCCATGGGAGAAGATTTAAAATGCGCCATCACATTTTTAAATGTATGGGTGTTCTTGAGAGGACTGCAAGTAAATAAAGGAAAATGTTTAATATCCTTGGAATGGCTAGTCCATGCTATAGCATTGGGTAACGTTGGGTGTGCACACATGAAGTGGCATGAAGGTATCACAAAACCGGTGAGGAAATGTAGTAGACTTGATTGTTGGTCTTCTAAAAAAATGAATCTGAAAATAAACATATCTCTGGGGAGGTAGCAAAGGAACAATTACAGACACGATAGCCATTAAATTGATGACATGTCCAGCATCCCTAGAGTCTTATGCTATAAAAATAGATAGGATATCTTTCAAGTGATGAATAATGGCTTGTGGGGTGGAGGATAAATAATGCAGAGTGTGCAGATGTGGCTCTGAACTGCCTTTCTAGACCCACTATTTAGCGAGGTGCTCATAAAGTCCCTTCTCCATCTGGGGTTAATTTCCATTCAGACTAACAGTGGCTTTTGGATAACAGGAATCCTAGCTTAGGAGTTTTAAAACACTGTTCCTTGTATTTTTATCGGATGATTTCTTAAGAGCAATAGCTGGTTCATTTGGCCTCCATTATTCTAGCTGCTTCTTTTTAGATGAATGGAGATCTCAAAATCACTGTTTAAAATACTGTTTCTCGATCAGAATTCATCCTTATTCTGCCTTCCAAGAACTTTTTCATATTTGATATCTAAGATAGAAAGACGGATAATAGATAGATGATAGATAGATGAATACAGTAAAAAGACAATATAATAATATATATTATATATATATTGTTATTGTTATATATTATATAAAGACAATAACTATAAGTTTTATATTTTTTTTCAAACAGAGTTAAAACAGGTCTATACCTACATTGAATGCTACAGGCAATGCCTGACTTTATTATTTCCTTCAGTGCACATACAAAGTATATGTTAATAGTTGTGTGCATGTATCTTGTAACCATGCATCCCAGATGGTTTTCTGGAAACCTTTCCCAACCTGGGTTCCCTCCAAGAATTTTATCTCTTCAATTCTCATCATTTTTAACATGCTGGTGGGGTCTGATATGAATTGATGTTCAAAATGATGGGTAATGTACCATCCAGACAATGTATGTTGTAGGGCAGAAATAAAATTGATACATTAAAAAAACTGTAGTAGAAAAACCCAGCTTTGGTGCGATGCATGCTCCACCATTCCATTGTTTCAAAGCTTACTTTCTTCTCCCATGAATATATTGCTAACCTATATAAATGGACATCAGAAAGATTTGTCTATTTTCCTATTTAACCTTAACTTTATGTGGAAGGGTTTTCTTCTTTGCACCCTATCCCCAGTAGCATGTGCCCTGCCCTGTGCTGACATGATGCCATGTATCCCAATTCCTTCACTGGAATGTTTAAACAAGGAACAATATGCTCGCTAATGCCATGGCCTCAGTGTTACAAAGGCCAGCAGGTGTGCTTGCTTGGAAAGATAACCTGTTTCCCCATCTGCTGATAAGGCTAAATGATCTAAATCTTGTGATTTGGTTAATATTTCCCTCTTCAGCCTGCTGTGTACACAAGGCCTACTGGATAAACTGTCTACAACGGTAGGCCACTGTGTGCATAGCGCTGTTTTTTCCTATATTATCATCCTCTCACCTGGTGCCTTTAATTAAACATCCCTTTAATCATTGCACAAGAGTTACCAGAAGTTTAGGGTTCCACTTTTTTTAAGCCATATCTTTAAGAAAAGTAATAACCAAGTCATAAAGTCATATGAGGAAAAGTAACTATTGTGGCCACTAAAACACACACACACACACTTTTCTATTTTTAAAGTCAGTTGCAAGGATGAGAAATAATGTGCAACTTTTGAGTTGTCCAGATGTACACATCTGGCTAGGTCAAAAAAAATGTAGGCTCAAAAGAGTTCCAGAGAAAACTGAAAAATTTCACTTGAGGTGATATTTTTGGTTATATCAAGGACTACTGAACAAGAAAAAGCACCCCAGAATTCCCAGCAACAAGAGCTTTTCTGTACAGGTAGTGCCCAGTTTAAGAACATGTTCTGTCCCCAAGGTCTGTCCTTAAGTCGAATTTGTATGTAAGCCAGAACAGTATTGTTGTATAATACTGGATAAGTATTGTGCAATGAACTCGAACCATTGTGTATTTAACTCAAATTTGGCTACAATAGGCTCCGTTCTTAACTATGGGTCATCTGTAACCCGGGCATTCTTA